TTTGTTCCTGACGGAAGGATAATATGACGTAGTCCACCATCGTCATCATATTGTAAGGAGAAATGTCTATCGCTGGCCAGAGTGATATTGGACAACATATTGAAATCATTATAGGTGTAATGTTTGGTGCCATCTTGACTATTAGTCACTTCAGCCAGTTGTCCCTGGTGATCATAGCCGTAAGATTCATCAGATGGGCCCCATTTCCAGCTTTCTATGCGATTGAATCTGTCATACGTGATGCTGAGATTGTAGCCTTGTTCATGTGGTTGCCAGGTCAAAGGTAGGCCAGCAGGATCAAAGGTGACTGTCAAGAGTGGATTTCTGGCTTTGTCATAGAATGTTTCACGCCTGAAGGCTTGCTCGAACTCTACACCTATCACACGAGTATCGTTCACCCAGATTTCCCTGTTTAAAGTTTGCTGGAAGTGGCTGACGTCACCGACCAGATTATAAGTTGTGGTCATGGTGTTGGTTAGTTCGCCTAGGGACATCAGTTGGTAGCTCCACATTGGCAACATTTCAGCTTCTACTGGTAATTCAGCTTCTAAAAGAGGATGTTTCGTGGTGGCTGCACTTAATACTCTTCCACCGCCAGGTAAAAGGACCTCTAGGCTGCTGTTGGTGAAGGCAATCGCTTTCTTTATCTTGGTGCCATCAGTAATTGTCAGCATCTTCGATCTTTCGTTCTTCATTTTGAATTCGACGGCCCTTTGCTTATCTCCCTTCGAGAGAGCTTGAAGCGGAGCAGAAACCTTGACAGATAGACCTTCATCATCAGATAGATCCGAAAAGAGCTTCAACTTTTCACCAGTAGGTAGGATGACATCAGTAACTCGACCCAAACTATCGTAGTTATAGATGTACGTTTCACCACCTCCTGATCTACTCGTAAGTAATCCAGTCGATCCATCATAGGCAAGTGCGATCTCAGCTCTACCCCGTTCAGATAGCTTCTCCAAGAACCCTACTGCCGAGATTTTCAGCTCAGACTTGTGATCCTGTGTATTCTCTATAGAACTAACCACACTGCTATAATCTCTCAAGAACTGAATTTTATTTCCAGCGCTGTCCGTTACCGTGAACAACTTTCCAAAACTCGTATTTTTACTGTACTGAAACGAGTAGCGTGTTTTGCCAGAAGTCAAGTCCTTAGTAAAGATGTGTTGACCATAACGATTAAACACGTATACTTCGTTCGAGGGTGGGAATGGAATATGGAACTCTCCACTTTCATCGAGATTTGGAAGATATGGTTGCAAAGCCAAGATGTGCAGACTACCTTGGTCAGCCACATGAAGAACGCCATCTGGTGACACTGCTAGAGCAGATATGGCGGTGAATTTGGCATTCGATGACAATAGAGTCTCTGTGCTGCTGGTGTCATCCGTACACGAACAACTGTCCAGATCTTTAGTACTTGGTGTTGTGTTATTGCATTCACATTGACCACGTAACCTTTCCTGTTGCTGTCCAGCAAAATGGGACATTTTCCCAGAGCTATCTACAATTTTGATGGAGTTCACTCTGTGTGAGTCACTTTCTGCTATGTATAATTCACCAGTTGGACTGAAACTAACAGCTAGTACAGAGCCAAGGACTTCATCAGACTTCTTAGGATTGGTGGTCGTTGTTGAATTCGACTTCTTCAAATCACCGTCGTTATTGTTGCCATTGTTGCTAGTATTGCTAGTACAGTGGAGTGGTGTACCAGCTACCACACGTACTTTTAAATCACTGGTGAGCTTTAGAACCAGTCTATCATCAATGAAATGTAGAGATCCATCTAGAGGACTCAAGGCCAAGCCAGTTGGCCATTGTAATTGGGCTTGGTGAGCTGGTATAGCACCTACACATGGTGCTGGAGACCAGTGATTATGGTGTCCATGGTGTCCTACTAAGGTGTGGATGATGCCATGGGGATCTACTGCACGGATGTTTCTACCATCGGCTATGTACATGGTCTTGTCAGCGGCAATAGCGATTCCTGTTGACATAAAATGCAATTTATTAATTTATTAAATGATTATTAATTGTTTCAATCATTATTGATTGACTGTTGGTATTTACCTTTTGGATGAGCCAATTTAGCTCGAATGGCTGGTCCTTCATCTCCACAATGACTTTCATCGCCAGGAATGCATCGCTCTCCGCTTCCAACCACGGGCTCGATGTTGATACTAGGATGCTGGACGTTCTTTAGAGACAGTGCCTTTAATATTTGATGTTTCTCAGGGTCACTAATGTACAGGTGACCGTCGGCCGGGGAGACGCATAGGTAGTATTGGTAAGCCACTTGGGTTGCACTGAAAAGACAAATTTAAAGAATTTTTCAAGCTGACAGCCTTAAAAATGATGATTTTCCCATCCTAAAAAATTTTAAATCAGTCCCTCATAGTTATTGGCTCTCATCACTATGCTTTTAATTAACACACATTAATATGTAGAATGTAGCGAAAGTGGCGCCCTGCCAATGGCGATACCGGAGTCATAAGCTTTATTGTGGAGGAAACGATCTTCACTAGCCAACTGATTTTTGCTGGACTAGTATTGCCTACTTCCAACTAAATCATTTAAACCGTCAAACTCCTAAAGCTCACCTCAACGTCAAAACGGTGTACACACTGCCCTCAGGTGTGATCCTCCGAACCAGATTGAAGTCACCTACATAAATGCTTCCATCTGGTCCACTAGTAAGCGCAACTGGAGTCAACAACCTAGCATCCTTGGCCACCAGCGCTTGGATACTATTACAGTCTTGACAGTCTAAGTTTCTCTGCAGTCCAGTACCCATCACCACCTTAACTGTACGGGGATACTGCTTGAAGTGCAGCGTGGTACCGTCTCCTTTCTGCAATATGCCCTCGTGGAAGTTATAGTGATGATGAATATCCAGTCCCCAACCCCCAATGTCTGAGATGTCCACGTCGAAACCCTGCAGAGTAGCCGTCTGCGTTTCCCAAACCACAGCTGGACAAGTGGAGTGCTGGTAACCAATGGAGATTCTCGCCTGGGCGACACCATACACCTTTTGCTTGTAAACGTTCCTCTTGTTCCAGGCAAACGTGTGGGTCAAATTTGGATCTGCTTCATAAGTTTTGGTGTGAAGTGAGCCCTCTATCTCCACGTGTACGTGCACATGCGTCAACGACTTTGGTATGAATGGTCCAGTCAGTTGCATCCTCACTGTTGAAAGGTAACCAGCAGCCTGGCTACTTTGATACATCAAGTGGAGGTCGGAGCCGGGGATGGCGATGCTCTCTTGAACAATCTGCAAAAAGATGGGGTCAGTAGGGTTCTAACTTGTGAAATGGAAAGGTTGTTTTTGTCAGAGACTTTGGTTCAGATTGGATATTTGAATTTCAGATCAGGGGGGTGGAGGGTTTGGGTGTGAGGTGTCTCTTGACTTTGGGATTAAATGGTGCATAATGCTGTTAAAGTAGTACTACAAGTACTAGCTGTTCAAAAAAAAAGCTTCTCTGACAATACTTTTAGAATTTGGAGTACTATGTTACTTACATACAGCTGAATTTTATATTTTTTATATTTTAATATTTTTTTAAAATTGAGAATAAGGTATAGATTGACATCTCTACTATAAATGCTACTGAGTTATAGTGCTAAAGAATTCCCTTCTTTTGTCAAATATTTAGTCTTCAATGACCTTGAATGGCCAATACTTGTAGTCTCCACTATACTGTTGATGCACATCATGTTTTTTTGGGAATATATCTTTTACCTGACTTTCACCAAACACCATGCTTTTGCCAGGAAGACCTCCTACTTTCTCAGGCATCCAGGTGCTAACAATGATGGGCCTTAGTAGTTCGTGGTCGTGCTCCAGGCATGGTCCGTGCTCGCTAAATAGTCCCATCGATATCCCTGGGAAGCCTATTATATTGTACGCCATAAATGGTAAGGAAATTAAAAACATAAAACACTTAAGGACGGAACAAAGACAGCACACACGATCAGCGACGGATCCCGGATGGTTTCCTCTTTACACGTCGAAGGAGATACACGATGAAGCAGTGGACAATTGGTGACATATATATTTTTTAACATAAAAAACCATCCAACGAAAGAAAACAAAGAATAATAGAAATAATAAAAAAAAAGGAACTATTACAATGAACAATCATTCAATTTCTCGAACATGAAAATTCTCTTTGAATCAACCACGTTTATTTCAAAACACGAACTGATACCGTGGCACGATATAACGTGAAAAAAGTCGCAGAAAAACGAAAAAAAAAAGTAAATGATACAGAGATTAATACTTACCGACAGCTGGACTAGGGGGTTGGTTCGATTTATGGGACTCCCCTTCCTCGTTAAGGGTCATCACCACAGGTGGCAGAACCACTATTTGATTCCATGGCACGAACACCGTCCTTGTGAGGGGTTTGAAGGGGCTACGTTGGAACTGAAGCGTCACCGCACCGCCGCCGTTGACCAGCACATCGAACCTGATCGAAGCACGTAAATGCATTTCAAATTATACCTTAGCTACCGGTATTACATCGGGCTGTATGGTCGATCGATAAAGGATACGTGTCGCTTCATCCTATTATCCGTCTCTCAATACACGATTTCGGGGCTAGTTTTAATGTTTAGTTCATAAATTCATGTATAACAACAATAATAACAATAATATTTTGTAATTTCATGTACTTTAATCTAATTTTATTGATGGAAGACCCTAATGCTATTATGATCGTTTCTTAAAAATTTAGATTTGTAGCTTTATCCCTTTTCATGTTCTATATTATCATAAGAATAAGAATTTATAATGAATAATAATATCAAAATATGTTTTATTAATACAACGTCAAAGAACCGTGACGTTCCACAAACAAAAATTCACTTTTCAAACTACGGGAAATATCGTTCAAGTTATTCTCTGGACCAGTAGTACCTCTATTCAACATTACGCGTCCCCACGTTCCCGCTTTCTCGTCATGCAGTGACATCTGCAGGCAGCAAACCAAACTAAACCGGATCGTACCGATTTAGCCCGGCTGCAACTTTTGCCCGGATGCGACGCGTTCGAAATCCAATTTCGAAAGTCCCTCTCTGTGTGTTGTCGTATGGTCGCACGAATCACGCAAAGGATTCAACGTAAGCGGTACTCGCAATCAAGCAGCGTCGAAAGCGCATTTATCAGAGAGTCTGGCCGCAATAACTGCCAATCTATCACGGTCTCGTATTCATTAACTCGTGAATATAACAGGAGGGATGAAAGGTGGGGAGGGGGCTGGCTGGCTCTGCTTCCAACTTACTACGTTTAGAATTACGCGAAACTACAAATCAGAGTGAGACTGGAAACAGAGACAGATAGAAACGTTGTCGTTTCGATGAGATTCACAGACGTACAATCTCTCTCTACCGTGTTCGCACAGTTCACTATATTACAGTAAAATTTCACCAGTGATCCGACAGGGTGTGACGGCGGTGGGGGGTAGACGTAGGTCAGACTAATCACACAGGTTTGCACGGAGTAATTAGGAAGCTTTCGACATCATTAGCTCGGGCTTTGATGCGGTTTACGGGCCAACTCCTCCAGCTCCGTGTTTCAGGATTATCCTCGCCAGGATTACTATATACCTGTTTGATATAGGTGTTTCACCATCTCCCCATACCCACATGATCCCACCCTCTCATACCCTTCATTACAATGCAGTCTTGATCCTATTACGAAGGACGTCCAAGCTGGCGTACACGCCCATCAGGCGCAAATACTAATGTCATGCATACGTTTGCCCCGGTGTATTGGTAGTGTTGTGTAATGGAACGCGAACGACACCTGTTCGTGTGCTTTTTTTGAGTTAGCGATCAGTTTGAGGTTATGTCTGACTGACTAGCGGGAAATGAAGTGACATTTGAATTGGAAATGGTGAAACGTAATATGAGAATGGGATTTAATTTGAAGTACACAATTGTGTATATATGGTACATGTGTGATTTTGTTATTTTCGATGCTGGTAAATTGATCGATTATGAAAAGTATTATCGACATAGATGCTTGATTGCGAATACGCAATATGAACTAGGATAACCGTAAATCATTTCTCTGTTATACCTTCGATAATTAAATAAATTCTGTCTTTATACTTTAAATCTCATACTCTAAGTGATATAAAATAAAAGCAAAGTTATACTCACCATCCATCAGCTCTTGTTAGCGTGAATCCAAAACGGGGATCTCTGTCCACGGACACTCTGATGCCTACTATTCCAATTCCTTGCTCGGTTACAACTTGGCCTCGCATCACAGCAACTCGACTGTTACAAATCAAAGATATATCGAGATCTCTCCAAGTCGGATCGTATCGTTGATCCGCTAAGCGCAGAATGCTGATCTCAAAAAAAAAAAAAAAAAAAAAAAAAAAAAAAAGAAAACACAAGAAGATTACAAATTTTCGAAGAAAGATCAAAATCGATTTAATATAGAAAAAAAGTTCCCTTCGTTGAAATTTCGATCGTGCAATGCGTGCATCCCAAGGTACAGAACGCCAAGAGGGCGCGAACAATCGATTCTGTCTGTCAAATCAGCTTCCGCGGTCAACGGTTCAATGCGATCCAATATTCTCACTTCGCTGCCAATACAATCCGCAACTCCATTCGAACCAGCATTCACCGGCCTGCGTTAGCTCGCACAAGAGAGGCTAATGCCTCTGGTCGAATCCAGAAGCGATATAAATTGATTTTACAAACGGAACAATGCGTGTACGCAGCGCGGGCAGATGGCGCGCGAGTCGATTCCTCGATCGAGTGTGTGCAGGTGGATCTGGTGTGTCGCGTATCGTATTGGCAACGACGCGGGAACATGTATATCTTTCAGTCACATTCACTTTCTTGCAATTTGCATGGTATCTGTTTTGCATTCTTTAGAGGTATTGTTTACTTTTTTTATGGCTTGTTTGTGGGTAGAGTTGTAT